ATATGTGTGTATATATATATATATATATATCATCAAAGAATGTAAAATACAGCATAGAGAATATAGTCGATGGTATTGTGGTATTGTAATAGCTACGTACGATGTTAGATTGGTATTAGACTTGGTGGGGTTATCATTTTGTGAGGGGTGTAAATGTCTAATCATTATGTTGTTTTGTACACCTGAAACTCATAAAAAAACAAATAAATAATGGGGGGGAAAGAAAAACAAAACAAATAAGACGCCATCTAACTAAAAAGCTTTTGCACAGCAAAGGAAACCATCAACAAAACAAAAAGACAACCTACTGAATGGGAAAAGATATTTTCAAATAACATAACCAATTTATGATTAATATTTAAAGTATATGAAGAACTTATTAAATTCAACACCAAAAAAAAAAAGGACAGAGGACATGAAAAGACATTTCTCCAAAGAGGACATATAGATGGCCAACAGACATATGAAAAGATGCTCAACATCACTAATCATCAGAGAAATGCAAATCAAAACCACAATGAGATTATCACCTGGCACCTGTCAGAATGGCTATTTTAAAAAAGAGAACAAATGAGTGTTGACACAGATGTGGAGAAAATAGAAACCTTGTTCACTGTTGGTGGGAACGTAAATTGGTGCAGCCACTATGGAAAAAAGTATGGAGGTTCCTCAAAAAATTAAAAATAGAACTACCATATGATTGAGCAATTCCACTTCTGGGTATTTATGTGAGGAAAATGAAAACACTAATTCAAAAAGATATATGCACCCTTATGTTCACTGCAGCATTGTTTATAATAGCCAAGATATGAAGGCAAATTAGGTGTTCATCAATAAATGAATGGATAAAGAAGATGCTAATCAACAACAACAACAACAAAAAAATGAAATCTTGCCATTAGGGGAAACATGGATGGATCTAGGCGGTATTATTCTAAGTGAAATAAGTTAGAGAAAGACAAGTACTATACAACTTAACTTATATGCAGAATCTAAAAAGAAAAAAAAAGAAAAGAAATGAGCAAGTAAAACAAAACAGAAATACACTCATAGACACAGAGAACAAAATGATGGTTGCCAGGGGGTAGGTGGTTGGAGGTTGGGTGAAAAGCATAAAGAGAATTAAGAGGTACAAACCTCCAGTTATTTAAAAAAAATAAGTCATGGGGATGTAATGTACAGCATAGGGAAAATAATCAATACTACTGTAATAACTTTGTATGAGGACAAATGATTATTATTAGACTTATTTGGTGATCACAAAGGAATATAAATGTCAAATCACTATGTTGTATATCCAAAACTAATATAATCTGCTGTCAATTACAATAAAATTAAAAAAAATAAAGTGTCTCATGGAATCACACAGTCTTAATTGTACAAATTCTGTGCAAACATTTAACAAATTATCGTCTAATTCATTACAATATTTTTTTCTTTAGCAAAGGTGAAAAATGCATTCATTCACTGAGATACAAATTCACAGGATATATACTTAAATTACTAGAATACATGCTTCTACTTTAGTGCTCATATTGCAGAGGTACTTTTTCATACTTATTTTTCTGAACAGACTGAATTCCTTTAGAACAGGAACTATTTTTATTCATTGCTACACTGCCAAAAGCTATTCCAATGTCAAGTTACACTGGAGGCAATTAATGTCGGATAGCTGAACATACATAAAAGTGAAAAATACCAGATGATCAATACAAATACTTCAGGGAAAGAGTAAACTTTGGACTGAATATTGAACAAAATATTCAAATGAGCAAAATGTGGTGGCAAGGGCAGTTCCAGAAATGAGGTAAATAAAGGAATTTTGAAAAGCCTCTACAAAAAAGCTAGTTGAAATTTAAAAGTATTTTGTGTACAAATCAACTAAAACAAACTATATTTATATACCTACTTTAAATGTAAAATATGTCTTTAACACTATAGCAATACACAGTGGAAAGTACTAGAACAGGGGTCAGCAAACTGCAGCTCGCGAGCCACATGTGGCTCTTTGGGTACATTCCATCTCAAGTTTGCCAACAGCTGGAAGAGTCAATCCTGTCCCTCACAACAATTTAAAAATTATTCGAGAACCATAAATATATATTTTGCATAATCATCATTATGTGAATAATATCCTGTAAAAATTTTATAAATGAAACAATGATAGATTTATTTTCATTTTCAATTTTACTTCAGAGCCACAGTTCGCGAGCCACAGTTTGTTGACCGTTGGCGGCTCTTCCATCTCAAAAGTTTGCCGACCCCTGTACTAGGGTATACAATCAGCAAACAGGTATTGCTGCAAAAAATACATTCTCTACTAGAGTAACCCATAATCCTGCAACAGAATGTTGGGGAAAAAAACAAAACAAAAAAACATGTTTCAGTCTCTTCCAACATCAATAATAACAACTTCTCCCTGAAACTTAACATTTTTTTCTCTTTTCCTCTAAGTTTTTTTGGCAGAGACACTGGTTTTGGTCTGTGCCAAACTTCCGATATTAATCACCTATATAATTTTGCACCACTTTTCCACCTACTTTCCCACCCCCAAACCACTGCAATTTGATTTCCACCCTCCAATATTCTACAAAAGAGGCTCTAGAAAAAGTCTTGAAAAATTGGTCAAGGCCTGTGACTTATTTTCAACTCTAGTCAATCTTTAGCACTTAGCCCTTCCCCTCCACTCCTGTAAAAACCATTGCCAACCTTCCCATTGTCTTGAAAATCTCCTTTAAAGCTTTTTGGATTGCTTTATTTTTTTGACTGCAGTTTGCTCTTGGTAAAATTCTTTCAAAGGTGTTCCCAGCTCCAAACATAAGTTACATGTAGGTCTTTCTCAGGGTTCTATCTTCAGGCATCTTCTCTTCCTGCCCTAACAATGTTCCATGATAAATTCTGATTCCCATGGCTTCATGTCTCACAGTTGTGCTGCTGCTTGTCAAATACTTTTAAAATCTAATCTATACCCGAATTCTCTGTATTTCAGTAGTCCAAATTCTTACTAGACATTTCCAAGTAGATATTATATGGATAATCCCAATAAATATTATTCCATGGGTACCTCAAATTAATATTTCAAATTGACCTCTTCCCCTCCCCACCATCAAAAATAAAACCCATGGTCTCTTCCTATGGACTTTCACATTTTGAGTAATGCAACATCATCCATACACCATTTATAACGTGATTCAAGAGTTGTAGGAGAATGAGATGGTATAATAGCTGATGTGTATGAGAACACCATATGGAGTGTATATTTCAGAGGTTACAAAAAAAAAGAAAAAAGCTGATAACTGCTGACTCACAGTACCTGTACACAAGTACCATTGTAGTTTCTGCTTAGTATTAATGCAGTCAATTCATTTTCAGCCTTCATATTCATACAAAGTTGGCAATTCAACTTTGTCATTAGCCTCGGCCTTTAAAATGCAAATCATCAAATACCAGCTCCAACATCAATTCTCACATCCTTGAACTTGTACATGATAACAATGTTTTTTAAATTTACTCAGTGTCATTCAAGCTTCTTAGTTTCTGTATATTAATTTTCAAATAAGGGGAATCATTCTAAATGTGGCTCCAAATGTGTCTTGCAGTGAAAAATCTCTAAATATTCTCTAAATATAGAAACTTTATTAGTTAGATTATATATATGTTTATAATTTTGAAAAAAATGTTGCAATAATTAATGTACGGTGAAAGCTGCTTAGGTATGAAAATTATAATTAACAGTTTAAATGGTTAAGTAAATAAACAGTAAAACAGACTGACAGTTAAAGTAGAACTATTAAGAAAGTATATATCACACACAAAAAAAAACTTTAGGAAAAATATGGAATCCTCTTTTCATCCAATAAATATTTATAAAAATTTAAATACTAAGGCAAGACAAAATACCAGAGATTAGATCATATTAAGTTTTGGAGAATTATTTGGTATAATAACTTGAGTAAAAAAGTAAGCATTAAGCCTAGGTTGTCTAAGGGCTGTCTGGGAAAATGACATTGGAGTCTGTCTTCCCACATAACTATTTTGTTAGAAACTACAGTTAAGATAAATGTGGAATGTTTGCCTGTCTGGTTTGCTATGAAACCGTGCAGCTAAGTAATATAGTCTAACTAGAATGCCTGTAAATTACCAAAAGTAAATTGTTAAGAGCTACTAGAATACACTGACCACATAATGAACCTTACATAACCATTCATCATTTGGTGCGCGTAGCTTAGCGCTACATTTATGCCTGAGGGGTGGCTGTAGCACACGGTGCAGAGGCCATGTCTTTAACTCAGACAGCCTGAAATTAAATTGGCTCTATAATCTTGGGCAAGTAACTTAATTCTCCACATTTTAGTTTACTCATCTACTGAGAGGAAAAAACAATAGATCTTACCTCACAGAGTTTATGAATACTAAGTAAGTTTCTGAATGTCAAGCACTTTCAAGCACACAGTAAGAGGTCAATAAATGTTAGTTCTTCTTCATTATTTGATGTCAATAGAAACTAGAATATATATTGTTCATGGCTAACATTTTTCTATGTCTCAATAATTTAAAAATCTATACTTCCTCCAACTTTATAACATTCAATCATGAGTAAAATCATATGAAATACTAAATATTTATCTTTTATAAACTAATATGCAATGCAAATTATATATATCAGGTATTTGTTATTAAAATATTAAATTTAGGGATGTATATTTAATTGTGTAAATTACATTTAAAGTAACCTTAATAAATCATAAGAGTAAAACAAATAGATAGTAGATGAAACTGATAGTGTTCAAAGATATTTTACTTATTTTAACAAATGTACTAAAACATAACTATCTAGCTCATTAAAAAATTGACTTTGGGTAAGACTGGAATCTATTGTGTTAAATAAAATTTTAAAATAAAAGCTTACGGGGTCTGTAGTATTAAATAAAACTTATTGTTGTTTCTTTTAGGCTCAGTAGCAATATTTTTTCTAAAAGGTAGATCTTTTCTTAGGTTACCTGGGAACTGATCATGCGTTGAGATGAGCGAGCAATATTGGCGGGCAGACCAAAGAAGCTAGGTTTGTCATCCTCTGGAAGTTTTTCAATGACAGCACGATAGTCCTAAATATAAAGATTTAAAAATCAGTTTTTCAAAAAAGATTGAACTTACAACTGTTGAAATAAGAGAGAATGAATATTGTGAAGTATTAAATTATTTGTTATTAATGTTACATTTTCTAGGTAAATCTCGCTTTCAGTATATATAATCAGTTATCTATAGGAAATAGTCTTTGTCATTATTACTTCTTCATACTTAAATTGTTTGATACTATATTTTCTTATCCTAACTTTCCACATTCAAAGGAACCCTGGATTTATTAAAACAAATATATGCCTACTATGTGTACTATGGCAACTATGTGTAAGATATTATGTTAGATGTTTTCAGAGAAACCCAGTAATTATTTTTCTTGTAATCTACCAGAGAGCAGTTCTGCTTATATCAAAATCTATATTACAGTGACCTTTTTTTTTTTGTTAATTTATGGAAACCCCAGAAACCTATACACAAACACTCTGGTATGTAAGCACTGCTTTGTAAATCGCTTTATCGTAAAACAATTCCACAATTCATCTTCAGTTTGCTAACGAGGTATGATGAAATGTCCTGTTAATCCTATCATTCATTTCATCCCAAGAATTACTGTAAGCACTGCAAAGACATGACATGTCAAGCATGCATCTGAACACTTACTCATGACTCTAGATGGGCAACCAATTGTAGACTAAGAGGATTTACTCAGTTTGGCTCAAAGTTGGAAATTGTTTTGTTTTCATGAAAAGACAAATTACTTTGAGGCAGGTATTGCATATGCATCTAAACAGTTCTTGCTGAAGTAGGAAAACTGTTTTTGGTAAAGACACTTATCTTCTGCTCCCCTCGCCCCATCATCCTTTCCATCCTTGGTTGCTTACCCCTGCAGTATTTCCAAGGAAATAGTTGGACTCCAGGAAACCCAGGATCTATATAAATATGTCAAATTTTGGAAAGACATGCTATGCCATTCTTTAAAATTTGACCTATCCTATAGCTCAACATATGTAAATTTCCTAAAGGCGTTCAATCACAATGTATACATGTATTGGGTCTTTAAAAAAGTCATGACGTATTTTGTCTGTTTTTCAAAGGTCATTTATTTATATAAAGAACAACCAATCAATGGTATATTGCTTGTTTTGTTCGATAACCTTTTGCCATCTTTCAGTGAGCTTCATAATTCTTTGTTCATAGAAGGACCTGTCTTTATTTTAAAAAAACTGAACAACGTGCTGATTTACAGCCTCATCTGAACTGAATGTTATGCCTCACAAGGAGTTTTGAAGAGAGTGAAACAAGTGGAACTCTGATGGTGCAAGGTGAGGTGAGTATGGTGGGTGTGGCAACACATCCCATCCAAGCTCCAATGATTTTTGACGGGTGATCAAACTTGTGTGTGGTCTCCCGTTGTCATGATGGAACACAACTCCTTTACAGTTAACAAGCTCTGGACATTTCTGGATGATGGATTCATTCAAACTGTCCAATTGCTGACAGTACACATTTGAATGATTGTTTGGTTCCTTGGCAGGAGCTCGAAAAACACAACACCTTTAAAATCCCACCACACTGAGAGCACAACCTTCCTCTGATGAATGTCTGCTTTCGATGTTGTTTGAGGTGAACCATCACGTCAGGACCAAGACCGTTTGTGCACCACATTGTTGTAAACAATCCACTTCTCATTACCAGTTATCAGTCGCTTCAAAAAAGGATTGTTTCCTCACGTTTAATGAGCATATTGCAGATGTTTACAGGCGCAGTCAAATGAACTTATTTGAGTTCATGCGGAACCCTAATATCGAGCTTGCTTACGTATCCCAGCTTCTTCAGGTGATCGTGAACGCTTGAATGATGGATGTTCAATGTTTCTGCAATCTCTCATGTCGTATAACATGGCTTTGACTCAATCAATGCTTTTATTTGTCGTCATCAGCCTCAGTGGGCCTCCTTGACCCAGGAGCGTCGTTGAGATCAAAATCACCTTCCTAGAATTTCGTGAACCATCATTGGCACTGACGTTCTTGTAGAGCATTGTCACCATAAACTTGATGCAACTTTTCACAAGCTTGACGCACATTCTTCCCTTTTTGGAAGTAAAACAGTAAAATATGGCAAAAATGCACAGTTTGGTCTTCCATCTTCAACTTGTTGTAAAATCTACAAAACTCAACCAAATCACTCAATTTTTTTCAGAATGAAGCTGTCAAATGACATAGCAATAACATATATGCCAATGACTCTAGTATTTCCAAAAATGAACTAGTGCCATCTGTTGCAAACATGCGTCATGATTTTTCCAAAGACCCAATATAAAAATATATGTATATGTGAGTGTATGTGAGTATAAGCTTGTATATATATATGCATTTATAAGTGTGTATATGTACGTGAGTGTGTGTGTGTTCTCACTTTCCTGGGAAACTTTTGGCTTCCTCCTTCTAAATCAGATTGAAAGCTAAACATTGATTCTCATAAATCATCCTATAAATTTAAAATTACCACTTTCGTTGTGTTTATATGCTTTGTCATTTTGAAATGGCTGTTAATCTTCTGATCTATGCTAGTCTCTCTGCCTAGGACTAACACTGAAATGTTTCCTAAATAACAGCCACATATCCAGATTGATATATCCTCAGTTGGACACAAAAGAATATTTAACAATTGTTACCATTAACATGAAGTACAAAAACAGGCAAAACTAACCTAAGCTATTAGAAGTCAGGATAATGTATAATTTGTGGGGAGGGAAATGAGGAGGACTTCTTGGGGGCTGGTAATGTTTTGTTTTTTGATCCCAGTGCTGGTTACACTCATGTGTCCAATGTATAAAAATTCATTGCATTACACATTTATGATGTACACTTTTCTGTATGAATTTTATTTTTCAATTTAAACCTCAAACAACAGAGACAGAAGACTTCTCATAGTACACTTTCTGAAATAAATATGTAATAAATAACTATGTGATATATCTTTTTGCTCATTCATTCTAAGGTTCTCCCACTAGAAAGTGAACTCCACAGATGCATCATAGGATCCACTGCATCTGAGACAGGGCTATCACTGAGCCAATGTTCAAAGCATATTATTGAATGAATGAATAAATGAATGAAAGATCCTAAAAAGCAAAACAGATAGGATACTTAATAATAATAGACATGATAGAAGAGTAATATATTTAATACTGGTTTTTAAGCTTTTGTTTTTTTGACAATTACGTTACTAAAACAAAGGAATTTTCTTGAACAATCTTTGAATGTGAGAAAAAGGCACAATACTAAGAAAAGAACTATATCATTGTGATATATGTATCTTTGTAATTCATAAAGAAATGTATAATTATAATACTCTGCAATAAAAACATTATTTGGGCATTTATACAAATATAAGTTTGTAGTAAACAAACTAGAATTGAAGCATTTGGGCTATATTTAGTTCTATTTTCTGGAAAAGATGACTGCATTCTAGGAGATTTTTATAAGATGACTCAAAGTGAAAAGATACAGCTGGCTAAAATAAATACACATAAACAAAAATGTTGCTATGAAAGCCAGATAAAGTGAATTCCTCTTATACATTTAAAACTGCTTTAAATTTATAAGCCAGAAAGTGAGGATACACATTTGTTAAATATATTTTATTTCTTTCATATTAAATATATCTGAGCACTCTTATGCCTACTAGAAACTAGCACATTCTCCCATTCCCAATCTTCACAGTAGTCCTACATTTTAAAAATATTCCTTGGCTCCTCTCTTCAAGATTTGCCTATATCCTATTGTCATCAATCAATCTTCAGTTAAGTATCCAAAAGCATATAAGACACCTAACTAGAATTTAGAGAATCAGGCTGCATATTGGCATAACAAATAACAATTCATATTTGTGAATGATAATTATGCATTTGAAAAGAAACAATATATATTTAGCAATATAAAAATGATTCAAGTATCTATCTGGTAATAGACTGAAACTGATTAATTTTACCTACCAAAATGCTGCAGGATTTTGGTAGAGATAACGAATAAGGGAAAATGCTATTTTTGTTCCTTTGGTTGAATACATCAATTATCGAAGAATTAAAAAATTGTTTCAGGTACGACTGAAGAACTCTAAGGTCAAAATAGTTATCTATGCGTCCTCCATAAATAGCATTTTCAAGTAATCCATGTACAAATTCCCACTGTACATCTTTGGTACCTATAATTAAAAAAAACTTTGATTAGTTTCATTTCTAAGGTATTAGAAATATTCTTTAAAAATTCTAAAATATCAACTATATTCCTGGCTCCTGTTATATACATATATATATATATATATATATATATATATATGATATAACAATATATCTAATTCAGCTAAATCACTTCTTAAAATGCTAATTAATATTAATATACTGTTTATTAATGCTTGTTAATATTAATAATATTAACATAATCACAGAATGGCTAATATTTATTGAGAGATTAGTCAAGTAAAATTTCCCAAATGTTTTCCATATATAAACTCACTTAAGCCTCATTAACAAACAGATTAATATTATCCAATTATACAGATGAAGAAATCGAGGTAAAGGGAGGTTGAGTCACCAAAATCAGTAAATCACATAATTCCGCAGATCTGAACAGAAATGAGGTACTGTGAAACCAGAGCCATATTCTTATCTGCCACACAATACTGCCTCTTTAACTTGAAAATTCCTAAGAATGTATTAAAAATATAATTTTATACAATGATGAAGAACTCAGTTCATAAAATAATCTGATCAATAGGAAAACTCTGCTAAACACCCTCACATATTATAGTCTTTTTTTTCTTTTTTCTTTTATTTTAATTTTTATTTATTGGGGTGACAATGGTTACATAGGTTTCAAGTAATACATCATCTTTATATTACATTGTGTGTTCAACACCCAGAGTTAGTTCTTCCATCAACATATATTTGACCCCCTTTAATATCCTGCTTCCCTCTTACCCTATGGTAACCATTAAATCATTGCCTGTGTCTGAGTCTTTGTTTATTTGTTTGTCTTGGTCCTTTGTTGCTCCCATAAGGGACTCATATCCAAAATGTATAAGAACTCATACAACTCAACAATAAAAAGACAAACAATCCAATTAAAAAATGGACAGAGGACCTGAATGAACATTTCTCCAAAGAGGACATATAGATGGACAACAGACATATGAAAAGATGCTCAACATCACTAATCATCAGAGAAATGCAAATATTATAGTCTTTTCAATGTCATGACTTTTATAGTCAACTGTCCATTTTCTATTCTAATAGAAAAGTAATATAGTATAAAAAAACCACATGGGACTTTTCTGTAGGTTTTATTTTGCAACAGAGACAGCCTCTTAATCACAGTTCAGTGGTAATGTTAAAATGCTAGAATTATATCTCAGGTCTGCAGTAAATATAGGAAACAATTATAGCTAGTTAACATCACTGCTAGCATTACTAGTTTAGTTCTATTTCATTGCTGTAAAACTCAGAAATAATCACAAAGATTGATGGCAATATTACTATATGCCTTGGGGCATAGTTGATTTAGGCTGCCTCCTGCAGAACAAGGGCCCCTACAGGGTAGAGGTCTAATTAAAGTTGTTGACTACCTACATCTTACTATCAACAGTGACTAAGTAGCTATAACAAGGGACTTAAGTAGGACCTGCCAATTTTCTAGTTCTGCTTTGATGTTCAGTAAAAAACACATTAATATATATGCCGTTCATTCATAAGTATGTCAGCAGAGCATACAGAAACATCAGAAATATCAATGTACCTTTCAACTTATAAAATGTACCTTTTTTTTTTTGGTTTTTTAAAGATTTTTATTGGGGAATTGGGGGGATGGGAACAGCGGTGGGGAATTGGGAAGGGGAACAGACAAGTTGCTGTCGTTTTGTTCTTCTGTCTAGTTGTGGAGGATGTTGCTTCACTGGCCCAAGTTGGCACCATCATTGCGCTCTTCCCGGGTGAGGCAGATCAGTCGCTGACTTCTGGACGGCCGCTCATTGCGGCTGCTGGCCGCTCACGCTGGCTGCTGGCTACATACCATAGCCCATGGCGACCCACTGCCACAGGGGCTGCAGCCTACGCCGTCGCTGGCGACTCACGGCAGCCCAGCTCCAGGTTGAGCTGTTGTTCAGCATCTTAGCTGTGGAGGGCAGTGTCACTGGCCCTCATATGTGGGATCCGAACCGGGGCCCTCTGGCATCCCAAGCCAGTTCTTAACCATCGCGCCACTCGGCCGGCCCAAAATGTACCTTTTAAGCAGTCACTATGGGAAATATTTTATAGAATTTTTAGAAGAAAATCTTATGTTTCTTTTTATACCCATTGTTCTCAAGGCAAGTTTTATTTTGTTTAGGATGAAAGATAATGAAAAGAACATAAATTATACCACAGTAATAGTAATAACAGTCAACAATTATTGATAGCTTATTCAATGTAGTAAATGTACTAATGGTTAAATGCTTCATGTAGCTTTTCTCTTTAAACTTCTCAAAAATAGAATCAATTGAAGTACTGCCTACTATTATTCTTATTTTACAGATCAGGAACTCAGGCTTAAAGGTTAAGAAACTTGTTCTAGGTCTCACAGATACATAATCTCTATATCATATAATTAGAAAATTTTCTGCAATGCATTTAATTCTACCTCTGTGGAAGTCTCTTAATAGCAGGAAATTTTATAATCATAGATTATATAGTTAGAGTTTTACCATAAGATTCAATATTTTTTAAAGCATCTGCCTCTTATTCACTAAAATTCGATGGTGTGATATACATAAAAAATCATGTGGGCCGGCGAAATGGCTCAGTTGGTTAAGAGTTTGCTCAAGATTGCGAGCTCTGAGCAACAGCAGTTGGATGCTCGGCCCAAGCTGAGCTGCCGCTGAGCTGCCAACAGGCAGCAGAATGGCTCAGCTAAAAAAAGAAAAAAAAAAAGAAAAAAAAAAAAGAAAAAAATCATGTGATACTATTAATTACATCACAATCTTAAAATACATTAATAAACATATCATTCAATCTTTTTGCTTTGTTTTCCTCATCTTAAAAGGGCACTAATAATATTTACCTGATAGTGGTGTTATAAAAATCAAATAAATGTTCAAAAGCATTTTGGATGATTACAAGTTTCTCTCTCTGCAAGGAAAAGTATTAGTATATATCCTCCAAAAAATTCTGTATCAAATGAAAAACAATAGCTCATGGAAATTAGGAAAGTGGCTACCCTCAGCACAGAAAGGGGAAATGTTGAGTTGTGTGGAAAGGAATAAGAGAGGTACTTCTGGAATGTTGGTAAAACTCTGTTTATTGATTCGAGGCTGGTTACATAGGTTCAATGTATAAAAATTAATTGAATTGCACATGTGCTCTTTTCTGATGTGTAATTAAAAAATTAAATTAAAAAACTGAATTGGAATACTATTTGGTGTTAATTAATAGCTATTGCTTGATGAACTGAAAGAAGTAAACAGAACTATGATGTGATTTGGACATGAAAGGAACAGAAATTGTCACAGCAATGGATATTTGAGGACGAGAAAAAGAAAAGAGTGCACAGTGATTCATAGGCTTTGAACTTGAACAACTTACATGAATGGTGGTGACATTTACTAAACTGGGGCAGATTCAGGGAATGGTGATTTGCCAGGGTTGCAGGGTGGGAGAGGCCAGACGGGAATCAAGAGTTCTGTTTGGCAGCCAGCCGAGTGGCATGTTGGTTAAGAGTTGGCTTGGGACGCCAGCTCTGAGCCGCAGGTCTCCAGTTCGGATCCCACATGAGGGCCAGTGACACTGCGCCCTCTACAGCTAAGATGGTGAAGAACAGCTCGACCTGGAGCTGGGCTGCCATGAGTCACTGGCAATGGCGTATGTTGCAGCAGGGCTGCCATTAGCTACCGTGAGTGGCTGCCAGCCAGCGTGAGCAGCCGGCAGCCGGCGTGAGCTGCCGTGAGCCGCCGTCCAATGGCTGGCGAGCAACTGCCTCACCTGGGAAGAGCGCAATGATAATACCAACATGGGTCAGTGAAGCAACTTCCTCCACAACTAGACTGAAGAACAAAAGGACAGCAACTTGTCTGTTCTCCTTCCCCAATTCCCCAACGCTGTTCCCCTCCCTTAACTCCCCAATAAAATCTTTTAAAAAAAGAGTTCTGTTTAGGCGACTTTTAAGCTTGAGATTCCTATCAGCATAGTCTCTTCTCTAATCGATCATTGCTCTAATCTAGTGTCCCCTTGCATTTGCCCAGCACAATAAACTTCAGGGACTGTTCCAGTCTTCAGGGGACAGAGAGCTGGTGGCCTCTGGGGATCAAATATGGTCTTCTGCACTGTTCTCTTTTAATCTATTATTTGTACTGTGATTCTTGATTCCTGCTTAATCATACAATTGTGGTTCTACAGCTCCTTGTTACTGACCTTAGTCTTCCATTTTTCTGAATTTTAACAGTACCCACGAAAAAGAACCGAATAATTCAAAGTCTGAAACTTCTTAAGCCCACAAAGTACAGACAAGGTCTTTCTAGCTTTTTGCTTCCTAAGATCTATAGAGCAATAAAAAAGACCTACAGATCAGTCAGAAATCTTATGAGTTATATCTTATGAGTTATATCAAACTCTTATGAGTTATATCAAAAACAATGACCATGATAAAAAGAACTCCCAGAAAACAAAAGCATGGCAGTCAGGATATAAACCACAAAATAAAACGCAAATTTTATGAAAGGAAGTTAAATCACTTTTGAAGAAACCATATTGTTAATAAGATCTCAAAAAATTTTTCATTAACACCAGATATAAAGATTTTCAGCATTAGGACTTACCATCAAAGAGACGATCAATAATGTTGTACCCAGCCCGAAGATCTGATAAAGAAAACTCATAAAATTTGGTCCATCCCTATCAAAACAAATTTTAAGAATATTACAGAACAATAAGCAGTGTTCAAAGATATATATGTATGCATCATTGCCCTTACAGTCTTGAATGCAATATTCAACACATGGTACAAAAAGACAATACTAATCAATATAATCTTTTTTATTAAAAAGAGAATTTTTAATAAAAATAAACAATAAATCTAAAGTAATAGTAATTTTGAAAAAGAGATTTATTTACCTACAGCATCCAAAGGATATTACAATATCATAAAAGATTTTATCATTGAAGTATGTGGCAATATAGTCAGAGAAAGAACAAATTGGCATAGTAAATTTTGAGTCTATGTACTGTATACACATTGAGATAGTTCTAACTCTGAGTGATGCACATACAATGCAATATACAGATAATGTATTATAAAATTGTACATCTGGAACCTATATAATTTTACTAACCAATGTCATCCCAATAAATGTAATAAAAAAGAATTGTGGATTTTGCCCATAAACATGAAAGCATAAATATTACATAAAAATTTTTAAACGCTCAAAGGCATACAGCATTAATTTTTGTATGTTTGACGCACAAAGCATTCATATTGGAACTAAATAAAATATAAATCTACAGCTAATAGCTACAATACTTGTATAGAAAGAGCATTCATAGAGATCTATATTCTGTAGAGAATATATGAAACAATTAAAAATAATTTTTATGGAGCTTCCATTAACTGTAAGTAATTAGTTTTATACAATAAAAATATTTTTAAATACATATTACATGTCAGCCTCTGGGAATAAAAGAATGTACCAAAACTTAAATAATCTCTGCCCTCATGTAGCTTTCAGTCAAATGTGGGGTAAGAGAAGAGTGAGATGAATACAGGCAATCACTCAAATATATGTACAACTACAAATTGTAGTATGTAAGACAGGAAGAAACATACTTAGTGTACATAAGAAAGAGACATACTTAGTAAATATAAGAAAGAGATCTGACATAACCTAATCTAAAAGGTAATGTAAAGTCACTGTGGTGCAGACGGGGGGCAGAATACATAGAAAGACAAAAGTAGATAGATAGAATAAAAAAATTCAAGAATTTTTGTACTAAACTGTAATGGAGGGTGACAATACAAAAAAAAGGTGTTAAGAATGACTTCTAAGCTTATGGATAATTCAAATGGATGTATGTCACTCACTGATCAGTGGAACATTGAAAGAATACAAGGTTTGGAATACAAGCATGAGATCACTGAACGAAAGCGTTCAACAAAAATTTGTTGAGTTCCTGCTATCTACCAAACATTGCTTTGGTCAATGAGAATACAGAAATGAATAAAGGACAAAAATCTGTGCTCCTGAGAAGCTTATATTTTAGTATTTGGATCCAGAATATGTGGGATTTTCAGTCATCCACTGGACAGGTCAAATAAATAGTTGGATATATAAGCTTAGACCTTAGAGAATTAGTCTGAGTTGGATATATAAATTTGGGGATCACTAGCATTTGGATAATTATTTTTAAAATAATAGTATATATATTATAAAAACAAGAGATTTTTATAGTATCACTATGTTATACTATATGTAAGAGTTAAAGATCTGTAAGGGAGATGTAAGGGATATGATATAACCCATCAATAAAGTTCCTTGTAATACTTTAATAAATTTTCTACCAATGCAAATCAAAGTCTTATTAATAACATTTCTTACATCACTCTATTAGACATTATTTGAAAAATGTTAATAAATTTTAAATAACTTAAAGATTAATCAACATTTATAAAACTCTCAAATTAGAAGACTGTTGCTATCAATATTACTTAATATAGCAATTTCCAACTGAAATACTAATTCTAACATTATAAGAACTGTATTCTGTATACCACAGTTACTGATATACTGTTGGAAAATTAAAGATTTTTAAAAATTATGATACAAAAATTTTGAAAGGTAATTTTGTTATTTGTGTCACATTTTCGGATCTGAATAATGTTGTAAATTGTGGAGAGGTTCTCTATACAGCCAGTCAAATCCTATTTAGAGTCAGCCAAGTGTCTCACTTGGTTAAGAGTGCAAGCTCTGAGCAACAGCATCGCCAGTTCAATTCCCACATGGGCCAGTGAGCTGCACCTGAGCTGAGCTGCAGTAGAGCTGGTGAGAGCTCGTGCTCTTAGCATCAAAGTTGCCAGTTCGACACCCGTATGGGATGGTGGGCTGCACGCCCCTACAGCTAAGATTGAATACGGCACCTTTGAGCTAAGCAGCCATGGTGGCCTGATGGCTCAGTGTGCAACAATGTTGCCAGTTCAACTACCTCATGGGATGGTGGACTACACCCTCCCCATCCCTGCAACTAGATTGCAAGTGGCGACTGGATTTGGAGCTGACCTTGCGCCTTCCATAACTAAAACTGAAGGACAACAACTTGACTTGGAGCTGATGGGTCCTGGAAACACACAATGTTCCCCTTCCCCAATTTCCCAATTAAAAAAAAAAATCCTATTTTAGCTCAGTTGGAAACCAAGGCACTATGTTAAGTGCTCTTATATACATGAATGAGATAAATACTGTTATCAAATGCTCATAATCTAGTAAGAACAACAAGATGTCAAAGAATAACAAATATGAAACAAAACTGATATTCAAGTATAATATTAGAAGTATAGTATACATGTGTAAAATAGAAGAAGTTAATTCTGCAACCACATATAGCACTACAATGAAAAACAGCAAAAAATAATTTTTCACTAACATGAGAAATAAAAACTGAGTTGAATTAGTAGTGGATTTTTAGTTCTGAAAGTTAGCACTTAAGAAAAAAAAAAAAGCAAAACCAAATGAGGAAAAGAGGTAAAAATAGAGAGTTTGTAGAAATATAATACATATCCCTATGACATGGTCTCCTTAGCAATTAATGGTATTCTCTATTTTGTCTGCTTGTTCCTCCAATTTTATGATATTCATGAGAGAAAACTTAAGAGTGCTAAAAAAAGTGACATTTTCAAATATTTTTATATGTGTGAATATGAATTGCTGTATTCTCTGTGGAGAGCATTTTGGTAATATTTATGAATTTTTAAATACGCATGTCTTTTGATCCAAACATTCCACATTTAGGAATTGGCCAAGATGAATATGCGCTAAATGAGGCAAGGATAGGCAAGCGTTTTGAAATAGCAAAAATTGAAAAGAATATGCATGCCCACCTAATAATACAAAACTGCTTAAAAATATGTTTATCGATATAATGAACACAAATAATATTTTTAAATTAGATAGTAAATGGGTACTAATATTTAACAATCTCTAAAATGCACTGGTTACTGAAGCAAGGTACAGAACTGCATTTGTAATGTGCTGCCATCTGAGTTAAAGAACATAACGTGTGTATATAAAATACATGAAATAAATTTGTATACTTATATCTCTGAAGGATACCCAATAAATGGTGAATAGTTGATGCACTGGGAATAAATACAAGTGGGCAGGGGGATAGAAGGGAGGAGACTAAATTTTAATTGTAAGCCTTTTACAACTTTTTAATTTGTACTATTTATATATCATTTAATAAAAAATAAAATCTAATTTCAATTTAAAATTATAATTTTTTTCCTCAATAAAGGTGAGTCACTATCACTATTCATGTATTCATCAGGATTAATTGATCCGTTGGTCTAAGGACAGATATCAGAAAATTAGGAGCAAAGGCTTTACAGGAAGGTGGGCCGGGACATTTCCAAGTCTATAGCCTTTTAGGTGTGAGTCCTTCAGCAAGTTAATTGCCATTGAGATCCACTGTCTTATTTTGTAAAATAAGAATAATAGGCATACCCTCCCCACAAATGTAGTATGTAAACTATATGAAACAACACATTGCTGTTATTGTTTACTATTTCATGAGTTTGATAAATATTTATTGGCAGGCTATGTGCCAGGCAGGCACTTCTAAACATACACTGTTTCATTCAATCCTCACAACATAGGTAAGCATGATTATTATTCCCATTATGCAGCTGAGGAAAGTCTGAATTTGAATACATATTTTGATATGTAACTGGAATAGAGAGAGGCTAAAAGGGAGGCAAGTGGACAGGGCAGTGTGAGGAGAGATTATCCCAACAGAAGTAGACAACATTGAAAAAAGAGGACGGGAAAAATTTAGAGATGAAAGAATAATGCAGTTGACAGCTAAGATAGGCATTTAGCAAGAAGAACAGAGCGCAGGTACTAGGGCTGCCATGGCAATGGAAGCATGTGGTCTGTTGCTTGGGTAACAATAACAGCTGGGCCTATGGTGAAAAATACCTTGATGAAGTCAAAGATCATAAAAAAGTCCTGTATGACGAGGTATAGAGAACAAGGTATACTGAGGTATGACTTATCTAGGATGAAGAGATAGCAAACCTTTCCTTCTGGACTACGGTATGAAATTTGCATATTTTCTCCCAAATACAATAGAAAGCCATTTCATGGGTTTTAAGGAGAGCAATGACATAATCAAATTTCTATATTAGAAAAATAATTCTGGCTGATAAATAGAAAAAGCCAGAAGAATGGGAAGGCTATCTCCAATAGTACAGGTGAGAGGTGATGAGGCTTAGAAAAAATGGTGAAGAAAAAGGTACACATCTGAATTATGTTTTGTTTTTTGTTTGTTTTTTTATTTTTATTTTTTATTTATTTATTTTTTTTAAAAGATTTTTATTGGAGAATTGGGGGGATGGGAACAGCGCTGGGGAATTGGGGGAAGGGGAACAGACAAGTTGCTGTTGTTTTGTTCTTCAATCTAGTTGTGGAGGATGTT